TTTTTTTTAACGCTAAAACTGTTTATAAAAAGTTTTTGTTTTTCAATAATATCATTGATTGAATATGAATTTTTTGAGTGCTTGAAAATTTTTGTAAAGTGCTTGAAAAGTTTTTAAAAAGTGCTTATTTTTGATTCAAAGATTCGGCTACGCACCCTGTGATGTTACCAAAATTTTCAATGTTGTTAATCCTTTGTGATTTTAAAATGCATTACCTCTTTTCTATAGGCATTTCATATTTAAGGCACGATCAAGAGGAGAAGTTGAAAGAATTCACCAACAGTAAATATAAGATACAACGGGATTCGATTTCAACTCCTAAGAAAGAATCCTCTGAAGCAAATGGTCAGAAAGAAGTTGAAATTCCAGATGAGCACAAAAAATTCATTGCAGAAATTAAGTAATTAAGGCATTTTTTTTATTTGTTGAGATTATATAAAGTTTCAATACAAATTATGTATATGAGTAATTATAAATAGAAATCATTGACTGAATGGAATGCTATCGAATTAATGAAACTAATTAATGCATATGATACAGTCAGGGGTCTCTCTAGGTTTTTTTAGAGATAACTATTTTGTGAAAAGTGCTCTTTTTACAAACTGGGTGGGAAGAAAATTCTTTTACCATGTCATAATAGCAATCAGCGGTAGGGCTCCATTGCAAGTCGAAATGCTTAAGTAACCCAGGATTTATTGTTTTTATGGGAATACAAAAAATAGAATTTTAAAAGGCTTTTTTGAAAGTATTTTGTGAAACCATATTTCCTAAAGTTACATTTGTTAAGGTACCGCTAAACGGTAGCAAATTTGCCTTGGACAAACCCCTGGCAGTTAAAAGAATAATAGAAATATTTATTTTTATTAAACAATATTAATATAGATGTATAGCAAGATTAAATGAACAAAACCTTACTTTTCTTTTAAAATGAAATATTCAAACTATGAGATCACAACAAAAGATAACATCTTACAATAACAGCTAGATTTGCTTGAATGTAAAATTACTTGAGTTCTGATGAACTTGTCATTTAGAGGAATGGACGCCTGAGTGACAATATTAAGATTGATATAGTCTAATGGAAGAACAGCATCATCTTATGGTAGCATATAGTGTTGTGTGGCTGCTTTTATCATAAATTATTTTGCTGTTATCATTAATCATTTCACATTGTTATTTTTTTTAAGTGGGTATTTTGTATAGTTTAAATTAAAAATCATGAAATGTTTAAGTTAAAGTGAATTTTTTCCCTTCTGATGCTCCTATTTTTCTTACTATTTTCTGAAAAGTTTGGTTGCTGTTCCTGCACTCCTGGCTCCTAATAATTTTTTAGCCACAATTATTTTTGGCACAGAAATTCGGTAGCTATCAAATGAAAGTTAAAAAGTAATTTCTCGTGAGAACAATTTAGTGATGAGATTATGTCTATCCCTGGTTTTATTAGTAAAGACGGAAGGAGGGAGAGGACTCTTTCAGTTATCTGTAAATGGAATAAAAAAAAAAAACCATAATCTGAAACAGGAATCAAGTATTATTATTACTTTTCTACATGCATGCCACTTTATTATTTTTTTTATCTTCATGCATGTTGTGACAAATGTATGATGAATAAGATTGACAATCCTGTCTGGTAAAAGTTAGTCTGTAGATAGCTGCTATAGTTGCTCAAGTTTTTTTTTTGTCAAGATTGTTTAAATGATTTTGTTAAAAAAAAATGTTGTAACATTCATCAAAGTTATATGACAATCACTGTTTCATCAACAATGTAACAGATTAAAGTTAAATGGATTTTAATCTCTAAGATTGTTTGATCAACTCGAATCATTCGCCCATCTCTTTTGTACTATTTTTTTAACTATTTTCTTTTACTTACTATTCGCACGTCTATTTTGACACAATCCTCTCCCATAGGTAAGATCACTGCAGTCTTTTTCTGCAAACCTTCACTTTCCCGGGAATCAATCTTAATTTTCTTTCCTTTTGCAAAAATAAACCGCTTGTTTGCACAACCATAGTTAATATTGTAATCACTAATGCAACATAACTAATGGTGACCGAGGAACACTATCAGTACAAGATCTTTTATTGCACTTTTTCTAGTTCACTTTTTAGTAAATTTTTTTTTACTGATTATTTATGCTACTGAAACGTTGACATGTGTGAACATTTTCTGTTAACCTAAGAAAATCAGATAATCAAAGTTCGGTCATATTGTTCTATGTATTGAATAGGGAGATATGAAGTAAACTGTCATAATGGTATTTAAGTTATCATAATTTAGCACTTTGCTGGATTTTCACAGTTTGATGAAAATGGACTTTAAAAACAATTAACCTCGATTATCCAAAAATTTCAGTTACCTGAAGTCAAATTTCTTCAGATAATTAAGGTTAAAATTTTTACCAGGGAATAAAAATATTCATATTCAATATTCTGTATGCTAAACCTCTCTGATTTTTAATTCAAGCAAAAAATCTTTTTTTTTTTTTTGAAGTTAGAAAAGAATCTTTACCATTTTTATCTCTATAACTATAGTGATAATAATGAAATGTAATTGGTAAGTTAGTTTGGTCTCTATAAATTCAATTCATATTCAATGAGTTATTTATTTAAGTAGTATAAGAGTTTTTTTTTCAATCTGTTACTTATTTTATTCATTACTTCTAAGTTTTAACTGCTGTCCGCTTAATAAGATGACTATATATTGTGTTCCAGTGAACGTGTGAATGCATTTATTGAGAATGAATCAGAAACAGTTCTGAAATTGGAACCTTGTAGTGGGTATCGCAGGAAACTCATTTATGAAAGTGTCCAACAGAAGTACACAAGTGGAATTGAGATGTTGTCCACAGTGAATGATGAGAAAGAGAGATTCATCACAATCACCAAAATGACTGATAACGCCAAAATTGGAAAGCTGGATGCTAAGGAAACTTCTGACATGGTAGGTATCAAATTCCTTTTTTTTTTTTGAATCCCAGGTGGATTTTTTTTATAATTGGGTTTTCAAGACACCTGGAATAACACTTTTTTGGTTTGAGTTTTAATTTATACTATAAAAGTGAACAATTTTAGTTTAAAAGGAAACTTTCAGTAATAATTCAATAATTAATTTAACAAAAGAGTATCGTTAATGCAATATCTTTTCTTATGGAGTATTATTGAAAGGTTCCTTATTTAAATCTAAAGTGCTAGTTTGGTTAGGTTGCAAAATACCTTTTGTTTGTTTTGCATTTACAATTTTTCTTTTTGGACATTTAATTTTTTGAAAATTCGAGTTGGGATAATATTTAAAGTACTATTTGTGTCTGCGACATTTAAATACGTAGTTTTATTAGTCATAATCAGGTATTTGTCATTTTTAATGTTTCCATTTCTATTCTGATCGTAATTTGACTTCATCCTGATACTATTAATTGTCAATTTTGTATTTGATCACTTTCATGTTTATTTTTATGCTGGGATTTGTTCTCAGCAATAAAGAAATTTTGTTTGTATAATGAAATGTCCGAGCCAAGCCGTGAACAGAACACCAATGTCGGACTGAAACAAATATGTTTGGTCTCTCTCCTGATTTATCTTGATTTAAATTTTGAAAACCAGTATTTAATTCATATTTATACTTATTGCCACCATTTAAAGGCATTCAAACATTAAAAATAACTTTCAATTTATTATATTTAAAAGAAGAAAAATTCAAAAATCAGTGGTAGCTCTGCCTGGAGTATACATTTATTAATTATATTGTATAAAATATTTTAGAATAAATAATTTAAAAAAAAGCAATCAATTGATTTAAATTGCAATTTTAAATGATTAATTCATTTAAAAAAATTCCAAGAAAAAAACCCTAATTATAAAATTAAATTTCTAAAATGTAATGGAACAAGTTCATAATATCCAAAGAACAAGTTCAAAATGTCCAAAGAAAATTTTCATAAATCAATTTTTTTACTGTACCCAAGGATATAGTTAGAAACAAAAGATATACGAGGGTTGTCCATAAAATAAGGTTCCCAACGAATTTTCACAATGAAAAGCATGTTTATTGGCATTGAATAATACATGTTTGGAAAGCTTAGACTTCCCTCTTTTTTTCGGCATAATCGCCGTTTAGATCAATGGATTTTTACATGCAGTGTACCATCTTCTTTATGCCTGAGTCGTAGAACTCTGCCGCCGCTCCGCGAAGATAACTTAAAACAGACAGAATTTGCTTAAACTTCTTCGGCTTTGGCGAGCATGGATGCTTCCACTAACGGGATTGTTCTTTTGTTTCCGGTGTCATGTAGTGGACCCAGGTCTCGTCCCCAGTGACAACAGAGTCCAAAAATTCCTTGCCATCGGTTTCGTAGGCATGAAGAAATTCGCAGGCGGCTTCCACACGTTGCCGTTTGTTGTCATAGTCATCCGTCCGCATTTTCGGGACCCCCCTTGCCCAAACCTTGGCATATCCTAAGCGGTCTCTCAGAATGTTGTGAATGCAGGACTTACTGACAACAGGGATCATCTCGCTGAGGTCCCGAACCTTCACCCTTCGATCTTTCAGCATTGCTTCTTCCACTTTCGCAATCGCTTTGTCCGAAAACGATGGCCGACCAGAATGTTGTTCGGCATGGACGTCTGTAAGTCCGTCTTTGAATTCTCTGCACCATTTGCGCACAGTTTGCACACTCTTACACTCTTCCCCGTACGCCTCACAGAGTTGGGAATGAATGTCCACTGGAGGAACGTTTTTTGCAATTAAAAAACAAATCACAGAGCGTAATTCGCACCTGGCGTGAGAAACAAATGGAAGCTTTATCTTTCACGGCTACCAAGACAAGAATTAACGTTGTAGATACCTCGCCGGGGCGGGAACTGGGGCAAAGGGAGCTAAGTTACACGCCAGTCTCAATAAATCCCGCTTAACAGCGTTCCTAGCATCCGCAGCTCCTTGGGAACCTTATTTTATGGACAACCCTCGTAAATAACAACTTAATTAAAAGGATATTTTTTTCTCTTGGGAAAAGTTAGAAATCTGTTATAATTTTATTGTAGTTAAGATGCAATTCGAGATCTGTTTATTAAAAATTTACCTTATAAACCAGAAGCATTATCTGTTGCTCGATACTATCGATTCTGTCTATTAAATCAATAATGCTTTTTCTTTTAATTTGATTAGAATTGAGATATTCTTATATGGAAAGAAATTATTTCAGTGACATAAAATCTACATTAAAATGTTTTTAAACAACAGAATATCAATCAAAAAATTATTTAAGTATGTCAATTAAGAATTATGACGAGAACTATAAACACTAGAGCAAAAAAATTATCACATGTTTGAAAAAACACTCATCTAATTTAGTTTAACCCATTAGGATCTGTAGTCACTTTTTATAGTTGTTTCCTAAAATGCATCATGAGAATTTGTATAATTTTCCTCATACCTTCTGCATTATTTTTAAGCATTACTTATTTTAAATTGTATCAGTTGTAACAGATATAAATAATTTGATTTTAAAATGAAGCCATGTTTATTTTTGGCTTGAAATGATGAGTTTATTTAATTAATAAGTTATTAGATACTTTTAATGTAATTGTAAAATTTCCCTTGCATTTTATATAATCTTAGACTTTTGTTTCAAAATTTTTGCTTTTTTAATCACTTTATTCTCAACTTTTTTGAATCAACATGGTGAATATTACTCTATTTTTTTTTTAAAAAAAAATAATTGTTTTACAGGGCTTATGAAAATTTCTTAGTAAAAACTGTTGGTTTATTTATCTTTTTTTTAAAGTGCTATATCCTGTAGCTAATAATTGTATGCACCTTATTTATAGGATGATATTGACACTGCAATAGGCTTTCGAAAAGTCGTTGAACACATATCACAATCTAAAAAACTGGTTCTTGGTCATCATATGTATTTGGATATATTGCATACTATACATAAATTCTTCTATCCTTTACCTGAGGTAATACAATGCTTTTTACTTCTATGTTCCATCACTAAGAATTAGGTTTTTGCAGTATGTTAAAGTTGTTTCTAAATGATCATTGCTTTTTTCTGTCAGTTGATGAATTTAAATTTGTTTCATGTTCTTATTCAAGTCTGGCAATTTTACTGGCTTACACTTATGAATTTCAGAAAGTTTACTAAAATTGGAAATGTTTTGAAAAAAAATTCTATATGTTTTTTTGACAAGTGCTTGAAGAAAAAAGCCCTTAGAAAAGCCTTAATTTAAAAAATTCTTTTAAATGTCCTTGAAGTGAGCTTATTTTTACCTAAAAATCTTTAAAGGTCCTAATTTTTATTATGATTTTTTTAATTCCACTACTGCATCCAAGAGTGAGCAAAGTTTTTTTTCCTAAGGAAAAGATAAACAAATGGCACTAAAGCAACAGCATACAAGCACATGGTGCATAGTGTTTTTAAACAGTGCTTAATTTTTCCTTTTCAAAAATGAGATTTTTTTCCGTTACCATGTCGATTTTCGCCACGTATTATGCAAAAGCGTGCTTTTCACATTGTTCAATTCAATGTTTTCACAATTCATTTCCGCATACTGTCTGTCCATAGTGTTTTAAAGCGCCTGTCATTTTACATGTTTGATGAAATACTTTGGATTCTGCAGATGCTTCTACTGAGCTGGGTTCTGTGAGATTCTTTCACTCTCATGTGCAACTCTGCTCATTTTGCAAGATATTCTCAATTTCACTCTTCATTTTCCACCCTCTGATATTGAACCGAAAAATCTCTTGATCATTTTATAATGGCTAATATAATCAAGAAAAGAGTTCTTTGTCAAAAAATTGTTATTTTGTCTTGATCTTGTAAAGTCTTTGAAAATTCGTTTGCATTTTGTTAATGTATGTAGTGCTTAAAAAATATTTTTTGAGTTCTTGAAAGGTGCTTATTTTTTGTTAAAATATTTGGCTACGCATCCTGAAGCAAAGTACAAGCAAATTAAAGAAAATAGAAAGGAAAAAATTAGGTTATAAAGTTTTATTAAAATTCTCTATCCTCCCAATAACAGAAGTAGATTGATTCTTCCTTAATAGCTGGACAATGAGGGGGAGAGAGTTCTCAGTTTTTGCTTTGTCTTTAACGCATAGGCGGCAAGCAAGGCTATTGACAGTTGATAGAGGTGAATTTAGAGATAATTCTGTATGGCCATCATTTGACAAAATGTGACTGCTAGATTCCTGGAATAAAGGAAATTAAGGATATTTCTATTAAGGTTTTTATTTTTAATTCTGATCCACAGAAATCTCTTGTTGCCAAATTAATTTTTATAGCTATGGATCCATAGCAAACTTTAGCTTAAAAGGGTTTGTTATATTATACATCCTTTTTTATCTAACTTATCTGAAATCTCATTTCCTGAGCCGGGTAGGGTCCACTGCAAGGCTCCAAATGTACAAAAACCTATGCTAGTTTAGGCTCCAAATGAGGGACCTGCATTGTTGCATCAGAGGCAGAGACAGGACTATGACTATTGGTGACAGAAAACAGCCCTGAGAATGATCCAAAGATATGCCATCACAGTTTTGATCCTCTTTTTCATCTTTAAGCATTTGGTTGATTATTTGAACTGCATGTCTAATTATTTAATGAAAGAAGACAAAATGACTGAATGTAGGATTTGGGAAATTTACTTTTCAATTTTAATTTATTATATCTTAATTTGCAGGGGTCTGTGCAGGGTATATTTACTACCGTTTAGCGGCACCTTCAGATATTCAACTTTAGAAAAAATGGTAGTTTCACAAAATACTTTAAAAGAAGCAAGTTCTAAGACTCTTTGCCTCTTAAAAATCTGTTTTTGTATCCCCTTAAAAAAAAAACTATAAATCGCAGAGTTTTTTAAAATGAAACTCTATAAACTCTCTTTTCTCTCTCTATAAACTATACAGGAAGTAAAAATTCGAACATCATTCTAAACATTCGAACATTATCTTTAAAATTTTTTGAAAAAAATTTTCCCATTGAAATTTTTTTCTATATGACCTAGTCAGAAATATTTTTATAATGAAAATAGCTTTCAGTTCTTGTACTGTTAAATGCAAGTTGAAATGTAACTATGGACAACAGATTTTTAAATTTGGATGCAATTTTGAGCTCGAAATTTTGCAATAGTAAAATTATTCTTTAAAATATATGGGGAAAAATATATAGAAATTTACCAGTGATGAATGATTTTTATTTGTAGTGACAATTTCGGAAAATTTGTAGTGACAATTTTTGAATTTCTAAAATTAGAAAAGAATCTCTCAAAAAAACCTAGGCAAACCCCTAATTTGTGTGGCATAAGAAAAATAAGAGAGAGTGGGTATAATATGCTAAGACTGGGTACTTTGATGTGTGAGAAATAGTTCTGTTTCCTTGCGGACAAACTGAATCACACTTTATCAGTCAAGAAAAAGGACCTACCATATTAGTGCCTTGTTGATTAATTCATGTCTCCTATGTAGATAAATTTGTTTTATTATGTTAATCCTTTTATGTTCTATTGTTTTTAAGCTATCCTTATTTATTGATTATTACAGTTATAATTTTTTCCCCTCCAGTTTATGTTTGTTTGCTAAAGATTTTATCAAACAATAAGGATTTAGTTCAATAGTAGCACTATTTTGTTTCGATAATCTCGTAGTAAGACGGTATCCTCTTGATGACTGTCTGTTCTGGATCCACGGAAAATGCGATGCAACAGATGAAGATAACAACGTCTAAGGCTGAACAAAGGTTTTATGGCCTCGGGACAAAATTTATTGCACGCTCTTATTTTGATATTTTGAAGACCTTTATATAAAATTATAGTTTTTTTCTGTATATTTAAAGATGCCCGAGTACTAGAACAATTATCCCTCTCTTCTCTCCTTGACTTCAGCCTTAACTACATGCATAATTTTTTAAATTGTCTTATAAAATAGAAATTTCTACTTTTTCACTGCATTTCTATTACAGTATAGGACCCCAAATCCGGCACTCACGGGACTGATGAAATTCCGTATTTTGGAATTTGCCGAATTTCGGATATTTTTTGGAAATTCCAATATGGCGCCCATGTATTACGAAATTCAATTATACTGTTAATTTCAGACAAACCAATAAATTTTGATCTTAGATTATGATGGGGTGAATTTAAAACTGTCCCATCTTACATTGAATAAAAAAAGCAGCAAAAGGGATAGAATTCATTTTACCCCATGTGGTAGTTTCAATGTCAATTGGGTGTGGCCAATTTATGGTCAAACTGGTGAGGGAAATGTGGAGATAAAGAAGTAGAGCACATGCACAGCTCTCAAGATTGATTGATCAGTTTCTCCCAACTTGCATTTCTTTATTTTGTTCATTGGAAATGCAGGTGTTTTTACTTTTCCCTTTCACTTATTTTAAAATGCTTTAGGAACAGATGTTTCCTTTAACACAGATATAGTAGGAATAAAAAAAAAAATTCATGTTTTTATTTTTAAAAGATAAAATAAAATTACTTAGTGCAACAGAATAAAATTCCAAATAAAAAGAGAATATAACTGATTTTTCTTTCTCTTATCAATAATAATTTCTTGAAAAAAAATATTAGATGGAATTAAGTGCCAAATTTCGGGATGCCGGATTAAGGGTCTCATACTGTATTTCAAAATTTCCAATAGAGTTAACTAATGTACCTGGTCTTTCCCCACAAATGGGATAAGACCAGATAATTTGACTTTCTCGGGAAAAAAAACTTCTTAAAAAACTAGTGCATCAGTGATTTTTCAGGAAGGATATGTTTTTTGCAACTAAAACGGTAAATACCTTGATTAAATCTGCCAGTTCTTAGGTTGAACAGTTTAGCTTCAATAGGCCTTGAATTTTAGCTAATGCCCTATTTTCTCTATATGATTAGTAACAAACACATTCTAAAGAGCATATTTGAATTACATATTTGAATTTGTGTATTTTATCATTTTGAAGTTAATGTGCTTTCTCTTGAAGTCTGTAACTAATGAGTATTGTTTGTTTCAGTCTTTGCAAGAATACAAGGAAATGCTTCAATTGGTATTTCCAAATTTGATAGATACTAAACATTTAGCATCATCCGATAGAGTTAGGGTATGTTTTTGAATTAAAATTTTTGCTTCGATTATCAACAGAATTCTTATATACATATATACAGTACACTCTTGTTATCTCAAAGTTGAAGGGATGTTAAGAAAATAGATCGCTAGTTTTCGAGGTATTAAGTGCAGAACTAAATATGTTCTGAAAAGTAGAAAAATATATTTTAAAATGTTACCCTAAAGAGTCAAGTCACGGAACTTAAGAATAACTGCTAATAAATATATATGTAATGATAGTTGAATATAAATCTAAATACAACATTAATAATTTTATTTTTAAAGTAAGACTAAAGAAAATTATGCATTAAACAGAAGAGAATTGGTTTTATTTTTTTGACATAACAAAGTTTTTGAGTTATCAAAATTCGAAATATTGTGAGTATACTGTATATACACCTAAATTTTTTTAATATTTATTTTTAGAATTGTTTGTATTGTTATAATTTAAAGTAATTTCAGCATTACCAAGGCTGCTTTAGTCTGCTTACTATTTTCTGATGTGTACTTGCACTATTTTCTAATAGGTGTTTCAAAAAAATGCTTTTTATTGATATTTTTTTTTTTTAAATTAAAAACTATTCATGTTGAACAACTTACTTAACTCAAATGTAATGAAACAGTCAATGCTAAATAATATTTAAATATGAATCAATGTTAAATATAAATTTACTGGAAGCTACCCTTTTTTCTGGTGCAAGAAAATGCTAAAAGGGGCTTGTTTTTCATTGGATGTTTGCAAAAAGTGAGTGAAACAGTACCTAAAAAAGGTATTTTTTTCCCAGTGTACTGTCATCATTTTTTCAGTGTAGCGCAAGTACAGTAAGAACTTTTATGTGATTCATATTCAGTGTTTTCACTACAGCGCGNAAAAATATCAGAGCACGATTTGTCAAATAGATGAAAACACTGCATATTTGTCTTTCCAGAAAGAACTTGATTCATATCTTTTACCACTAGGTATAAAAATAATTTAAATAAACGATTCAATAATCTCAGATTTGTTAAACATCTGTTGTTTATATTGATAATAATTAGTTTTACATAATTAAATGAAATTATTATTAATTTAAAGAAAAGAGTAAGCAATTCCATTAAAAAATATATTTAAAATTATGCTTAAAATTTTATTAGTAAGTCTAATAAATGAATGAAGGGGTTTGAAGTTTATATTTACATAATAATATTTACATAATATTTATATTTACAGATCTCTAGCCAGAAAAAAGTTATTTTTTATCATGATTATGTCAAGTCTTTAAAAGTGTTTTTGAAAATTTTTTTGTTTTAGGTTTATATGTAAAAAATTTAGTTTGTATGTGAATTTAAATATTTTTTAAGTGCTTAAAAGGAACTTTTTTGGTTGAAAATTTTATCAAAACTGAGTGCAATGCTAGTTTTTTTTTTTTTTTGCTTTTGTTTGCACCAATGATTTTTTTAAAAGTTTTACCAAATTACAAATTTAAAGGCTTTGCATATTCTTACAGATTAAATTTTTGATAATTACCACTCTTCTAATCACTAGTCTGTCTTTTGCCCTTTCTTTTTTTAACAAGATTCTAAGCAGTATATAAAATTAAATATGTAATAGTGGCAGAACATGGCATATCATACTATAAATAGTGCTATATGGTTAGATTTGCTTTCTGAATAAGTAATCAGAAAAAAAGCTTCTAAGTCTGTCTCTGATTAAGTAGTATTTTCTAATTAGTCTTAAAGCTATGGCTAATATCGTGAAATAATATTGGGAATAATTAAAACCTTAAAATTTGACACATAAATTACTTTTCAACAAAAAATAATAATTAAAATTCCTCCCTTAAATATTTACAAATTATACAACTTAGTAATAGTAACTAAAATCTTAATTCATAGGCCTCTGGTATCCCAAAATAAGTGATGTATGTATCAGAGTTTGTAGTTTTTCTGTTTTCTTGATAAAAATTTTTTTATCGTTATTTATCTTGATTTGTAGCTTTTTGCCCTGATATTTCTGAGTTTTAGCATGTGCTTCAAATGTCCCATTTTCTACGAATACAAGTTTGGATTTTAAAATAATAAATTTGAAGAATTAAAAAATTTGGAAAATTCAATTAAAACTTTTTTTATTTTAATTAATAACGCTAGTAAAAATTTTAAAATTGATAGTTAGAACTTGAGGACTGTCCACTAATTACATACTTAGTTCAGGTATATAGCTGCAACTGCAAGATTCATTGTTTGAACGGTTTTAGAAATTCAGTTGTTTTATAAAAGTGAAACTCAAATTACAATTTTACACATGGTGCGTAGCTTAAAGATGCTTATTTTCGATTTCTAAAAGCCCTTAAAGGTGCTTTTTTCATTGGATGTTTTTAAAAAGTGCTTAATTTTCCCTTTTTGAAATTGAGATTTTTTTCTTTACCATGTAATTTTTCGCCGCGTATTATGTAAAAGCATGCTTTCAACATTGTTCTATTCAACATTTTCACAATTCATTCAACCACAATCTATTTCGGTGTCCCGTCGATCCATAGCGTAAGAAAGCGCTATTCATTTTGCATGTTTGATGAAATAGTTGCAAATCCACATGTACATCTACTGAGCTGGGTTTGGTAAGATTCTTGCCCTTTCATGTACAACTGTGCTGCATTTTGCTATTTATTCTCAATTTCAGGCTACATTTTCCACCGTCTTATATAGAAAAACGTCTTGATCTTTTTATGATGGCTAATAAAATCAAGGAAAGAGTTCTTTGTCAGAAACTGCTTATTTTATCATGATCATGTAAAGTCTTTGAAAATTATTTTTCAATTTTTTAATGTATATATTGCTTTAAAATATTTTTTAAGTGCTTTAAAAGTTCTTAAAAGGTGCTTATTTTTTGCTGAAAAATTTGGTTACACACCTTGTTACGTTATCAAATCACAGATTTTTTAATTGGTGAATAGAAAGTTTATATTCTAAAATTCTTTTGTACTAAAATGTTCAGTGCTGTATTTACCGTGTTTTTGCTTTGCGATTATTAAAATCTTACTTAAAGATTATTTGGTTGAGGAAGTCAAGATTGAGAAGCTCTCATTATAAATTTAAATCAAGTATTGGTATGTGGCAATATTAACTATAATAGATATTGGTTATTTTCTTAATGCAACAGTACTATAAGCAGTTTCTTCATGTTGATCTCAAACTATGAGGATTTAGTCAGTGCTCTAATAATAAAATTATACTGGAAAGTGTAAAAAATTTCTGTTATAAAGTTTTTCTGTTAAAGTTATCTGTTAAAGTTATAAATGGTATATTTTATTACTATTTTGTAAAAAAATTTGCTTTTATTGAAAAAAAAATTTTTTTTTTTCAGCCATTCCTTGAAAATACACATTTAGGAGATCTTTTTAAAAGTATCCAAGGCAAAGCATTCGACTTACCTGAAATTGGTGAGTTAATTTTGTCTTAAGTCTTTATATATATATATATATATATATATGTAAAATGATGCAGTCGGACCGAGCAGGGAAACAGACACAGGATTTTAATGAAATCAGATGTATTTTATTTAGATAATTTAATTTGTCGCGATTGTTAGCGAATTCAAATATTTCATTTCTATTTCTTACGTGTTTTTGAAGTGTATTTGGTTACTAAATTTTTCAATTTGTCATTTCAATTTTTTCATTTTCCTATCTGTATGCTGGAATTAAAATTCAGAAATAAAGAAACGATTTGTTTATGGAAATTACTGAGCTAGAACAGAGCTATGAACTAATTACCAACGTTGGACTAAAGCATTAATTTCTGGTTGTACTTCAATTTAAATTCTAACAACAAGTATTTTATTCATTTTTCCAAACTATTTGTATTAGTTTTAACATTTCTTGATTTAATTTTTGCCACACCGTAATTGCATTCATATATTAAAATTGAATTTCAATAATTATTGCAGTTGCATTACGAAGAGAGAAAAAATTTAAATGGCATTCAAATAATCGAAATTCAATAATTAAATATAACATTTAGAAGGAAAAATAAATTTAAATCTATGAATAGCACATATTTTGCTTTTTTAAACACCATAATAAAATAAAAATGTAAATTTCACTTCTACACTTAATATAATATACACTGTGATATATAATGCAATAAAAAAAGTGATTCCTTAAATAATTAAAATTATAATCATACTGAATTAAAAGTGAAAAAAAATATATGATGGTAACACTAAATTTTAATATTATTTGATTTAAACAAATAATATGGTAAACCATTGAATAATAATATCAATAAATGGAAATATTATCAAAATATAAATATCAATAGCCATAAATTAATTAGTTCAGAATTTGAGATATGAGCGTGAATGATTAGAATACATTCACGTTTAAAAATTTTACCTGGAGAATATCATTAAAAATATCAGAGCACGATTTGTCAAATAAGTATAATTGATATAAAATGTGTAAAATATTAATCCCCCCAAAGAAGATTTTCATAGCACTCATCCATTTTTTTCCACAAGATTTTACCACTAAGCACGATCCACTAAAGTTCACACACTGAACACAGCTCGCTTTGGCCAACATTAAGTGCCACCAAGATGAACTTCTGGAAATGTAGAATCGCTGTCACTTTGAAATAGGCATTAAATCAAAAATATGGAACAGGTCTTTAGAGGCATGGAATTCTCGAAAAGGTGAAGCAAACGAAAAATAATTTATTTTTTTTAAAATGTTTTCTCCATAGTTGCTTCATTCCAAGTGTAAACACGACAGTTAGTAAAAAGGGGAAAGTGTCGTCAGCCAGGGTCAAGGTTCATCCAAATTCAATCAATTTCGCAGCATTGGCAATAAACTGCTCAGCATTCTCTTCTAGTCGCTGAGAAGTCCACTTACGATCCGTTCGTTAATAGGCTCAAATCTTCCAACATAGTAGAAGTGTGTTCTTTCAGTTAATTTTTTTTCTTTCTGTTTTGAAGAAGCATTTAATATTATTCTGCGCCCGTTTCATCAGTTCTTATAATCCTGCTCGGCTTGTAAAATGATGCAGTCGGACCGAGCAGGGAAACAGACACAGGATTTTAATGAAATCAGATGTATTTTATTTAGATCATGTTCTTATGGAAGACAAGCGAAAAGTGATGTTAATTCCATTCAGGATCAGTCTTTCTGGTAGGGAAAATCTTGCAAATAATCCGAAAATGTCTCTATTTAGAGAAGAAAGGGAAATCTTAGAAATAACTATTGGTTAATGAACTTGCTCGAGCTTGCCACGGCTTAAAAGGGAAAATATATATATATATATGGAATTCCAGAATTTACAAAAATGCATATATGAATAATTTTAAGGTTACTATCATTTCGAATATGGTTGTGCTAGACATAAATTAGTGTTACCTGCTCTCGATACGCAATATAATTATGGTGTGAGTACCCGGTAAAGGGCAGTAAATTTTTTTCTGGATACAGGTAATGAAAATGTGTGTGGGTACCGAGCTATTTCCGTGTACCAGGTGCATCTCTAGTATTGAATACTTGCTGTTTTTCTTTAAAGGGTAATAACATTTATTTTTTATGCTTGAATTTTACAGCATAATTCACTCTTTTCTAAACCATGATTAAAGTCCTATGATTACAAATGCGTAGTATGTTTTAATATGTTCTTCAATACTAGTATGTAAAGTGAGACCTGAACTATTCAATCGTCCATTTCACTACATTTCTGTTAAGGCTTCTTTGACATATGAAATAAGGAATTTTTAGAAAATAATTTGCTATTTTTGTGGTTTTTGAGTTCTTATCATAGTTATTAGTAATAATCCTTCATGCAAAAGTGTCAATAAATTTAAAAAGCGAAACATGGAATTGATGTTAATCAAAATAAATCTGTAGAATGCTATAAAATATTTTTTTATTATTTTAGAAACTGAAGTCAAATTTAAGGGTTATGAATTATCCTGTAGCAATTATCATGAAGCTGGATTTGATGCTTTTATCACTGGAGTAAGCTTAATTGGACTTACTAGGAAAATTGGTAATTTGCATTCTTCTATTTATTTACTAATGTCTTTCTAAACTATTGTTTTTATGAGTTCCTCATGATTTTCAATTACATGAAGTCGAAATTACGAAAAAAAAAAGACTTGATGCTTATGCCAAATCGGTAGTGAAAATGTTTTTAAAAAGTGCTTAAAGGTACTTATTTTCGATTTTCGTTTTTTAAAAGCCCTTGAAGTTGCATTTTTTATTAGGTATTTTTAAAAAAAATGCTTAATTTACCCTTTTTGAAAATGAGGCTTTTTTCTTTACCGTGTCTATTATTGCCACATATAATGCAAAAGCGTGCCTTTTACATTTTTCTATTCAACATTTTAACAATTCATTCAACCAAAATCCATTTAGGCTTACATTCAGTCTGTAGCGTAAAAGCGGCTATCATTTTACATGTTTTATTAAATACTTTGGATTAGGCAGGTACGTCTACTGAGCTGGGTTCGGTGAGATAATTGCACTCACATATGCAACTCTGCTGCATTTTGCAAGAAATTTCAGGCTTCGTTGACCACCTTCGATTTCAAACGGAAAAATCTCTTTTGTAATGGCTAATATAATCAAGAAACGAGTTCTTTGTCAGAAACTAATAATTTTATCACGATTATGTAAAATCATTGAAAATTATTTTGCATTTTGTTAATGTATACAATGCTTAAAAATATTTTTTGAGTGCTTAAAAAGTGTTTATTTGGCTGAAAGATTTGGCTATTCTCTCTGCATTATATTGATAAATCAATAATAATAAAATGAAGAGTTGGTGTGTGTGTCAAGGTGTCAATTTTACTGCAAAAAAATGCTTTTGTGGGAATGCAAAAATTCATTTACTCTGTTTAAGTATTTTTTAAAAAGAAATTATTTCATTTATAAGAACTTAGAATTATAGTTTAAACTAAGCAGGGCTCAAACATGCCGGAAATGTGGATAGTGTTTTTTACACCAGGGAGCATTTTGAGCTCTTGACTGCATATACTTCCGGGTTACTATTATCGGTGTGTTTTGAACCCATTTGGCTTACAACGTGATCATTGTGTTTTGGACTATCTTGATCACGTGTAATTGTTACCTGATTTATTATTTGTGTTTAAAAAAAGAATAGTCATTTGAGGACCTGTCAGTTTAAAACGTAAGAATTGTCAGTTGAAAAAGAATCGTTATAAAACACATCTTACCTTGTTATCAATGTACCAATTTCGAAATTTAAACCTAAAGGGTAATTTGTGAAATGAACTTTCTCCCTGCTCGAACAAAATGCTAACATTAACGTATAATGATGCACGGCTTGCACTAAAGAACAAACAGTAATATATAAGTGAGAAAAGGCCGAATCAGAACTCATAAAAGCGAGTTTTCTCTAAATCATGCCAAGTAATATTAAAAAAATAATAAAATTAATTGCTAAACAGACCACCACTTCTTATATTATGATATTCTTTTTTATGCAAGCATTTTTAGGCAGACTGGATTACTCAAAATTATTGTCTTCACATTCTAAGAATGCTTTATAAAGAGTGGTTATAATAGAATGAATTACAGACATACCTGTGGTTGACTTGCGGTTTCTGTTTGCATATCCTACCCTCTGAAATAGAGTCAAATCTCCTAATTTTAGATGATTGGAGGGATAAACTTTATATAACTTTTTTTTTCTCTCAATTTTTTAAACATATATTAAAGTTTTATTTAATCTGCTAGTGACAAGGGTGAATATCATTCGTTGTCGGACGATCGTTTCAGAAAGCATAACACAAGTGCGCTATATTCTCACTTGCATTTAGAATACTGAACGGATGAACCAATCGGATAATGAGTCAGTTTTGAATTTGATTGGTGCTCACTTTATTAACAAACATAACCTAAACTCACTGCAAGTAATTAGTTAAAGGATAAATTCCTGCAAATTTTGTCAAATTTTTTTTGGCGAAATTATTGTAAAAGTACTGATTTTTTGTAGAAATATTTTATTTTTTATAACCGTCGTTAAACAACCGACCAAATTTTGGGTTTACGACTACTAATGTTCAACACCGTAGCCTTGTAATTTTGAACCAATCCAGAAGACAAGGAAAATCCTGGGTCAGTACCCCCACAGGTATTGATTTATTATGGGAACATGGAGGACTTTTTGACTCTACAGATTTAACGTGCATCAGTCACCATTTACTACTCGGGGAGTCCTTGGCCGACCTGGGATCGAACCCACGAAATCTTGGACATTGGCCCAGTGCCCTATCAACCAGACTATCCCGGCCCTTGGTAGAAATATTGAGAAAATGTCAATGTTCTGATAGATTTTTTGTGCTGATGCCAATTATTTTAACTTATTTTTTGTGAAGGTGCCATTCTGGTCTGAATAATTTTTTTGGAAGTTTCCGAAAAGCGGTGCCAAAATTAATCTGTATTAGTCTCTGTTTAGAGACCTATATTTGTCTGCTGCCTGTGTTATTAAATGTTGAAGTTGCTATGTTTCATTTTGAGTTTTAAGTTTATTATTATTATTTGTAGCTTCTTTACAGTCGAAAAATGCTGAGCAAATAGATGCATCCTGTACTTTCTTGAAGCCGTTCTTAAATAAGTAAGTTTAATTTAGATTTAATACATAACAAAAGTGGCTTAGTCTCATATTAAAAAATTAAGATAAAAAGGATTTTTACTAAAGAACCTTCCTGAAAAATAGTGTTTATCTTTAAGAAATTCATAGGCAAAGATGATGTGAAAAAGTAAGCTTCACTAAGGTTTATTTGAGAACCCTAAATATAATTATTGTTTATTAGCGTTCAATTTTATAATTATTGCTTAGTAGAATTGAGTTATTTGGCCCTACATTTGATAAACTATTTTTTCCCAATAATCAATTGAATGGTTACGTCACAATATTTGATTTTTAAAAGTACAAAGATAATGCATTTTTAAAATTTTGTCAAGCCCTACATCACCTCTGTTTGAATGCCTATTGCGTAAATACATTTTGTTTTCTTTAAGTAGACTAGATCTTTTGGTGAAATTTTTAATTTTCTAAAATTTAGAAAATTTTTTTAGTTGTATCTTTTCTTTATATCTACATTATTTTGTTTGACTTTATTGTTATTTTATTCTCTTTAATAACATGATATATAAAGTTAAACAGTTTGCTGTACTGGCAATGTACACATATAGTTTTTTTTTCTTCTAAAAACTCTTAAGTATGTAAATTTAAATGTATTTCTTTTTGCGCAGAACTGTTGCACATGCTTTTTTATTTATTTTTTCATGATTGAGTTGGTATGTTCTTTTCCCAGCACATGACTGTTTAAGAAAAAAGACCCTTGCTTTTTTTTATTTTTCAAGACTTGTTTCAAAACTTATAAAAGTTTCATTCTGACAACTGTAAAATCATTGTCTCAGTAGTTTAAATTACTATAACAGTTAAAATAATTTACTCAGGGAATCAATTTGAAAAAAAAATGGTTATGTTTAACGTATCTATTGTTAATACAGCAGAATTTATTGTCTATCAGTAGTTGGGACATTTCAAACATTTAATTCATGTGATTAAATCTGAAGGCAATCTCAGTTTTTTTTTTTAATCTGCTAATCTATAAATTTAGGATAGCTATTTGCACTTTTAACATTGAAAATTTTCAAACTTTTATTTTTACTGTATTATTATCATAAATTATATTTAGTTTGTTGTGTAAAAATGGAAAGTAGGAATTATGTCAAAATAGATTGTTCGTTATTTTTGTTGACTGTTTATACATAAATTATAATACTTTACTGCTCATTTAATATCAAACTTACATATGTAACCAGTAATATTTAAAGTCATTAATAATATCCAAATTTAAAACCAAATTTATTGTTTGCCTCTTAAAGGTAACAAAGGAAAATATTCTTTTCGGTTTAGAACAAAAATTATCGGAAATAGTTATTAACTAAAGCAAACCAGTTTTTGTTTCGATTTTTAAATAGCACCTTTATTTTAATTTTTAAAAAAAGTTTGATAAACAATTGTTTTAATTTGCTTGCTGAATTGTTTTCCTTGTTAACACTAAATATTTATTCGTTTAGATTCTATATTCTAAGGCATTATGACATCCAGTCTTTAAATATTTGTGGACCTGACTGTAAGTATTTCATTGTATGTGTATTTATTTTCTATTTTATACACTTGTATTGAATTCAAAGTGTTGAAAATTTTTTTTAAATGCTTAATCATTAAAACTTCCAGTTTATTTAAAGTTTATAATATATTGCTTTAGGCTAATTGTTATTGTTTTAAAATTTTGTTTGTAATTTTTTGATTTGCATAATAAGTTTGTTGCATAGCATAATTGCAATTTACATATTATTTGTAGTTTTTATTGATTTACAAAGTTTTAAAATTGTAAAGATGTCATTGTGTTAATAAGTAAAATTACATTAGCTTCTCATGCATTAAAAATTATTAAACTTTTCAAATAAAATTTTTTAAATCACTTAACTCTTCTGAATTTTTTAAAATAAAAAGTAGTGAAAATTTAATGAAATTATTTTTATGTAAATTTAAATATCTCCAAAAAAGTAGTAATTGGATTTTTTTTTAGAGAAAAGATGTGATAATAATGAAAATTCTACCAATACCTTGTTTATTTAAACAAGATTTTCTTATTTTAATTTGTTTTTCAGTACCTTGTTAATAATGCATTCGCAAGCTATATTACAATAAAACAGTTTTTAATGTTGTAATATAGTTTGAAATGTTTTGGTATAATATAGATATTATTTTTTATAATTAATAATATTTCAATTATATTTAGATTTTTAAAAAGGAACTAGTTTATAAACTTAAGTTCTCAAAGTGTCTTTTAAATAAATTAGTTGAATTTTGTTTAAAAAATAAAATCGTGAACCTGGAATGATAAGCATCGCTTGCAAATTGCTGTGTTGATTTCTTTGGGAATGGCAACTTTTTTTAAAAAAAATAGTGTTGTTTTTCAATAGTGTTCTATGCAAATAAGAGTAACTGTTATTCTTTTTAATATTTCTTTTAGCTGAACCTGATAGGGAGAATGTATTTTATGTAAGCTTCCCTAAAGAATGGAAAACAATTGATCTTGTTGAGTTGTTCCTGCCATATGGTAATTTTATATATATTTTTTGTGTGCTAAATACTACATTTTTTTTTCTATTTAGTAACATAAGTTCATTTGTTTAAGGTGACATTTATGTGCATTGGCTTGATGATGTCTCTGCTTTAGTAGCTCTCAAGAACCCAGAAAATGCTATAAGCGGTATGCTTCTCATTAATCTTTTAGTTTTTTTTTATTTCTTTTTAAAAAAGTTAAACAATATTTTAAGCTCCAAATTAAAAATATTTGTACTATTCCATTGAAAGTGTTTTTTATAAAGACCATTTTTAAATATTAATATTTTCAAACACTATTCAAAGTTATTCACTTTTGTTCTATAAATATGCTGGCATGATAAGGATGAAGAATAACAATAGCATGACAATAAACTTTCAATATCTAAATGTTATTCATAGTAATGCATGTAAAAGAGTGATTTCCACCCTTTATTGTCATAGTTTAAAAATGCCATACTTGATGGCATGCTTGTCAAATGTCATACTTGATGGTGAAAGAAAGATGTGGTCCCAAGCATCCAGTCAATCAATGACTTAAAGTCTGGTACTTCATTGCAAATGTTATTTTTATTTTGTAAATACCTGATAGGGAGCAAAATAACTTATGAAAAATAAAATCTAATTTTTAAACATATTTTAATATTGAAGTCATGAAAATTTAAATATTTTTTTTTTTTGCATTTAAGAATGTGTTAAGAATGTACTCCCCCTTTTCACCCGGTGTCCCAATTTCTGAACCATGGCACAAATGCAAGCCCTTACCTTTCTACATTTTCTTGGGGAATTTCAAATGAAAAGTAAAAAAATAAAATAAAACTTCCCCATAGCGAAGAGTAAAAGAAAAAAAAAAGATTAAAAAAAATACGACAACATCATTGATTTACTGTGTTGCAGTCTTGTGAATAAAGAAACGATTCAACCACTTAAAGTCAGATAAATATTAAATATATGTTTTGTGTGATGAAATAAGTTTTATATGCTACTTATTTCATAAAATTTTGCTTATATATTGAATATGAATGACTACTCTAATGAGACAGGTGAAAATTTGCTTTTTATACCTTTGTTAAGTATTATTTGAAAAGGAAATTTAAAATACTTCTATGTTGGCAATAATGCAAGCAAGATCTGGTAGAATGTACAGTCTTCAAAAATTTAGAAGCACTAAGTTTTTAATTGATAGGGTCATGTTTGATGCATGAATTGCTTTTTCAGAACAGGGATACAAATCCACCACCCTCTGACTGCAAAGGCTGCAATACTATTAGTAAAAATGTTATCTAAGTGCATATTGTCAGTAGGACTGTGCGATAAATCGAAGTATCGCGAAATATAGATAAGTCAACGCTCGCAGTTTAACATGCAAGTATCCTTTGCTATGATTAACACTATCACTGATTAACACTAGCGCTGATGAAGACTATTTCAATTTCGTCTAGCTGCGAAGATGTTGATTGCGTCTAGCTATGTAGACTATGTTTATTTCTTGATGTTGAGTGACAAAGGACGAATTGAACTCCCGGTTTCACGCGAGGATCAGCGTTGAAATATAGAACGCAATGCATAGTTTCTTTATGTGCCATTTTTTTCTTAGAGATATTACGTTTCTTGAGGATTATTTTCAGCGGGACTTATGTTATTTCCGCTGCACATTTCATTTCGCCGGGATTTAACGTTTCTTGTAAATTATTTTCTTGTAAATAATTGTAATGCATTCCCCCTCTTTACTTACTAGCTTCTTAAAATGTTTTTTCCTTGTTTTTTAGCCAAATCTGGATTGTTGAACAAAAGTAGCAAAATGTATCGTGTTCAGACATATGCTGATTATAGAAAATGGGAAAATCAACAAATCTCAACTAAAAAAGTTGAAATCAAGAAACCTGCGACATCATCATCATCAAAAGTTTCTCAAGCGAAAAGGAGCTTCAAAAATGACACGTAAGCATTTCTACTATAATGCAGAACTATTGTGCAAATTGGAATAAGTAAATAATAAATTGTTATAATTACTCTCAGTTTTGAACAATATATGTAGCGTTATAATTAATTTTTATGGTAATACTTGATGCTTTTATTTTCCATGGTTAACTAAGAAAATAATAATTTAGGTTGGCAAAACATGTGAAAATGCAGTCTAGTTACAAAGAAGATACACTGTTAATGATATATTTATTTAATTAAAGTTGTAATTTTTTGAACATAAGTAGCAGTACACTCAAAATTCAGTCAGCTTTTCAACGACAGATGTATTTCTCAGGATAAACAATTTTTGCTCATTGAAAGCATCACTTGTGAATCAAAATGTAACAATCCGTAAAATTGGGGCTCTCTTTTTCTGAAAAATCCAAATCAGCAATAAAAAATATGAGTTCCTATTTAAGATTTTGAAGTTGCCCTGTGTCTAACCCTCACATGGGGCGGGGGAGGGGAAAAATATTTTTTAATTGAATTTTTAAATTGATTTGTGTTTTCTTATGTAGTTATTATGTGTTTTCTTATACAATAGAATAATAACTAAAAAACTAATATTAAGGAAATTTTATTTTGTCAATAATTTAATTCAATGTTTTAAATGATAACTTCGGTGTAATTTCATCTATTTGTTAAAATCATTATCTAAAATAATAAAAAAAATTTGCTGTAATATCATTAATTATTTGTTAAGGTCATAATCTAAAATAATAAAATCAAGAGTTTCGTGTTTCTCTCGCAAATTTTGATCCTACTTTTATAATCATTCCATAATCAGGGATCTGTTCAGGACAAATTTACTACTGTTTATCCGTACCTTCATAAATTCACCTTTAAGGAAAACGGTAATTTCACAAAATACTTTTTTTAAAAAAGCTAATTTTAAAATTTTCCTCCATGCCTTTTAAAATTTTATGGTACAATTGTCTTTTTTTGTGAGTTAGCAGTAGTAAATAATTGCATGCTATAAATTTATGTTTGAATATATATTTCTTTTTCTTTTATTACTAAAACTATACTTAATAATATTGAATTTTTACAACTACTCAGTATTAACTGAGTACAACGTCAAAACTTGTCTGAGTATGTTAATATTAAAAATCTGTTATTTTATCTCAGTAAACTGTTATCTCAATATGCTAAGTGTGCTGAGTACTTGGTAAAATACTAATTAAAATGATATTGTGTACATATTGTGTTGATTTTTTAATTTTCACAAAATATTTCTAAATTTTCACAAAGTAGGTACCTAAAAAAACCTTGACAGACCCCTGATAATCTTATGAAAGTTCTACATATTTAAATTAGCTCAACCATCATGTTTAGAATAAACTGGACACGAATGCAAAATAAAATTTAAAGCACTGTTTGCTTGATTGGAAATGAAGCATTACTGTGAAATAGTAAATAGGGGAAACAACTGCTAATGTAGGTAAATATAGTAACTGAAGGAATAAGGATTTTTTTTTATTTCAGAAAATTTTCTGGATTTCTCAAAATTAATGGAATTTTTAATGTTTTTCTCAAATGATATTTTAATATACTTTGTAAAGTTGTGTTTTGTATCTTAAAGCAACTTTTTTATTACAGTAGCAATTCCAGTATGGATTTGATTCCAGAAATTGATGAAAATGAAGCAGAAGGAGCACCTTCTGGTGAGAATATTTTCCAACAATTTTATTTCAATTCAATTATATTGAAGTTTATTTCTAAAGGCATGAATTGGTGTAGAGGACTCAATGTAAATGTAATTTCTAAAATTCCCCTTATAAGCACAGATCTCCTTAGTATTTTTCTGCATCTTTTATTGGGCCATTTTTTTAGTCATGTTAAAATATTTTTGTGATTGAGATTGATTTATAAAAAGAAATTCACATGCACCTTATTACCTAAAAGAAATTTTATTTTTAATAAAATTTTTTTCTTTTTTCGGTGGGAAAGTCTGTGGAATTTTTCCAAGGAATTACAGAATTAGCCATAAACTTGAATGTATGTGCTTATAAATAATTGAATTTATAAATTCTGGGCTTTTAACTGCAAATAAATTTATTGATGAATGATTAAAAGAACGAACGCCATGGCTCGGGGCATAGAACTTTCGCTTTCCAATTAGGTGAACTGGGGTTCGAATCCCAGCAAAGTCGGTTGACACGAATTCCACATCCGGCTTGCACCAACCGCAACACTGACGTGAAATTTCCTCAGTGGTAGACGGATCATGGGTTAGAGTCCCCTTGGCCTCAGGCTAACCGTAGGAGGTTAACGCAAATGCTGGTTAGTTCCATCAGAAAGTCCTTGATGCAGGCAATTTTCTCCCAATACTTGATCCACGAGTTCCCTTGTCTTCTGGATTGGGTTCAAAATTACATGGCTACGAAGTTGAACGTTAGTAGTCGTAAACCCGAAAATTGGATTGGGTAAAAACAAATCATGGGTTGGGAAAATTGCTTCCCATCAACATATAAAAACTAATGAATTTGGTGGCAAGTATACTTCCCACAGCCCTTTAAAGGGTTGCAAAATAGTTGTAGTATAAAAATTTTTTTCTCCTAATTGAAATTAAGGGATTATTTACTTATTAAGATTTTAAGCAAATATTTGTTCGTGACATTTGTTTACGGTATAGCTTTGTCACACCAAAACTTTGTCCCTATTCCTTAATAGTAGTTTGGCGAAATAGGCTGAGTGTATTTTATCAGCATTTGAAATGTATCAATGTTGTTGATTTCGCCACAGTAGTAAAACTTGATAATTTCGAAATGATGAAAGTTTGATATACATTAAGAAATTAAAGTGTCTTCCAGCAAATTTACAAATTGTTACAGACATCTATTGAATTCATTGTTTTAAAATTTCTGATGACTTCAAAATTCAATGACTTTAAAATTATAACATTTTAATATGACTTGTTGGAGGCATTTTGGGGAACAGATCATTATCATGGAATTTTATCAAATGTTTGGTCACAGAGTTGTAAAAAATATTGTCACTGAGTTTAGTCGTATCAACATTTTGTTCTCGTATTATTTAATTATAATTGAATGATAAAATGATTTTGTTGTCTGTCAGACATCTAATGAAAAACGACGAACAAATTAATTTAAATCAGAAAATATATGTAAGAAAATTATTTTAAATTACTCTTGGCAGAACAGAACTTTCTTCAATTATTAATTATATAGAAATATGCAAACTATTTATACTTAGTTTTGAAAGTAGTTTTAAAAAAACTTGAAACATTGGGTTTAATTGAAGCATGTTTATAAAGCAGAAAATTGTTTTACTTGCAGCTAATGAAAATATAGATAATGATAATGAATTATAATTTAAAAGTAAGTTTGATCCCCACTGGCCAGACTCCCTGTGAAATAATTTTTGATTGGTGCATGTTATATTTGTCGGGTTACAACACGCTCTAGTTTTCTTCCCTCTCTGTTCCTTTTTAACTTGTTTAGAAAGGACTGTGTGTGCATGATGTTTACTCTACAATTTATGTTTTAATAAAACTTGATCTGTCGGTAACTGTTTTTGTCTTTCTCAAGCTCTTCAAACTTTCATCTTTAATTAGAAAAAGTCGTACTAAAATTTTTTTTTCAATACTCATTAAAATTAACATCATTGCAAAAATTTATATGTAATATTGTAAAAATATGTTTTTGTCTTTTGACATATTTGTAAATTTTGTGAGTTGAGTCATTTTTGTAAACAATTAATTGCATTCTCCTTTTATTTATCTATCCTATACATTTTGCCTTGTGTTTAATCCTGATAATAACAGAAATAAGTCAATAAACATTAGTCATTTTAAAGTCAATAACAAAATGTCAAATTTTCCATTGTGTTAAGTGTGTTGTGCATATCTGCCAAGTCTCCTGTTTTTTTTTTTTTTAACAAAGACTCCTGTATTTTACGACTATCTTCTGTTTACCCGTATATTATGAAATGTCTCCGTATTTGAAGAAATTGAGAAAAAAAAATTTTTTTGCTAATAAAATATCTGCTGATGGCAAAATACTTCTCTTATTCTTCAACAGATGGTGCTATTGCCAGTACAATAGTATTTTGAGTGTTAATAGTTTAAGTAATTATTAATAATGGTTTAAAAAAATCTTCTTTAGATTAAGATTTATATACATATTTTTTATTTCGCTAAATATAAATACTTATATTTTTTTCCAATTTTGACCTTCTCTTTTTAGCTTATATGATTATGCATGATGTATTAAAACTTTTCTCGTAGCCTAGAAAATGTCACTAGTAAAATCCTCATTATTTTATTCCTCCAACATTGGCAGGTATAGTTGTGTTAGGACACATTGGAAGGTTATTTATAGAACTGGAATTATAGTATCACTATAATAAATTGTCCATTTTTGTACCTTAATTTGTGCTCAGGGTGCGTAGCGTTTGTAAAAAGTACTTAAGGGTGCTTTTTGGGGGATTTCGTTTTTAAAAGCCTTTAAAGGTGCTTTTTTCAGCTGGCGTTTTTAAAAAGTGCTTTTTTTTCACGAATTATTTTTTCCCTTCCTACAGTGATATCTGGCGGATCCCCTACATTTCACGAAAAATTAGGTGTTTGCTACGTAATCATTCACACGAACTTCATGTCGTACCCACGTTATGACTTGCGCATGCGCGCACACTCGAAACTGAAACCTGAGTGCTCCAATTCGGATAGAGTCGGTCCTTATTAAATGTTTTTCTTTTTAATTTCTTTTAATTTTATTCTTGTTTATTTTATTTTACTTCTAACACTTTTTTGATGTAGGGGGTAAGGGTACTTTTGTTCAAAGTCAAGTTGAATTCACTCGGTGACGTGGGAAAGTACTGATTGTTTCGATTTACGTCCGTTTCTTTTTGGGTTTTTTTTTTAATGCTAAAACTGTTCATAAAAAGTTTTTGTTTTTCAATAATATCATTGATTCAATATGAATTTTTTGAGTGCTTGAAAATTTTTGTAAAGTGCTTGAAAAATTTTTAAAAAGTGCTTATTTTTGATTTAAAGATTTGGCTATGCACCCTGTGTGCTTTATTCATACATAACACAAAACCTCATTTGGATTAAAAGTTCATACATTTTATTCTGGAAATGCAACAAAAATTAGGTGAATTGAATTATGTAATAAAAATTCTTTCAGGGCTTATTGGAAAAGTGAGCCTTTTATTTAAAAGTTAACCTTAATTTGTATTTTCTATCTTTATTTAAAAATATTTGGGCCTTGCTTATTTTTGCTGCCAAACAAAGGGGGGATACCACCAAACAAGACACTCTTTAAAATTACAAAGTCATAATAATTACAATTTAAAGTTGTATTTCTGTATAGCGTGTTGTTTTATGTTTGTGTGTCTCCATTTTAGGTAATCCTCCTGCAAAAAAGTTGAAGAAATCAGTGGATGATCCTGAATCGGGTGAAGTCACTTCCACTTTTGAAGAAGATAACAATTGGTGATTTTTCGGTACACATTTCTGAAAATATTTTTAAAAATGAAGAGGTTATTGGAAATTTTGTACTCTTTATCTGTTGTTAAATATACAATAAATATGGATTAAAAAAAAGTTAACTACATTTTTTGGGAACAATTCATTCACTTTCAATTTATGGCGACTGGGAGTGCTTTTTGGGCTTCCCAGCCCCAACGGTTGAATATAACATGGTGCATAGCATTTTTAAAAGGTGCTTATTTTCGATATTCGTTTTTTAAAAGCCCTTGAAGGTGCTTTATCATTGAGTGTTTTGAAAACGTGCTTAATTTTCCCTTTCCAAAAATGAGATTTTTTTTTCTTTACCATGTCGATTTTCTCCACATATAATGCAAAAACGTGCTTTTCACATTGTTCTATTCAACGTTTTCACAATTTATTCCAAAATCTATTTCAGTGTATCGTCAGTCCATAGCGTGTGAAGACGCCAATCATTTTACATGTTAGATGAAATACTTCCGAGTTTGCATGTGCGTTTACTGGGCTGGGTTCGGTGAAATATTTGCACTCTCATGTGCAACTCTGTAGCATTTTGCAAGATATTCTCAATTTTTGGCTTCATTTTCCACCCTCTGATATAGAACCGAAAAATCTGTTGATCATTACAATGGCTAATATAATCAATAAAAGAGTTCTTCGTCAGAAACTATATATTTTATCATGATCATGTAAAGTCTTTGAAAACTATGTTGCATTTTGTTAATGTACATAGTGCCTAAAAATTTTTTTGAGTGCTTGAAAGGTGCTTATTTCTTGTTGAAAGATATGGCTACGCACCATGTATGAATCTTAACAATAATTTTGGATGTAAGAGAATGTTTATCTTGATCCTTTTAAGGGATTTCTTTTCTTTATTATTTTTATGTTTGGCCATATTCTTTTTAACAATTACTAAATAAATCTATTTTTTCTTAAAATGATTTTATTAATTTCTCTGAGATAATATACCTTTATTATATAATTAAGATACATCTGTAACAAAAAATATGATGATAAAAACTACAATGATGATACCTGAACTACCACTAAAAATTTGGAATTACGATGACCGCCACTACAAACAATATTTTTAAACCTCCTCACAAAATGATCTCCGTTTATTTGTTCGTAATAATCTCTAGTTTTTTTTCCGATCAAATTTTTTCCAGTTCCTGAGACAAATCCAAGCGCTTTCCTTTTACGAGTGGCAAGACATAGGACGAATTGTGTTTAATGTAAGGACTTAATGTTAGTTTTAAAAAAACATTTCAAGCCTAAGGAAGAAATTTTCCTTTTAAAGTTCTATTCTTGTTGATACGTGTGTTATTTTTCATTGATTATTTATTTTCATTGGTTTCATTTTCTATTTTGTAAGTTATATTGACGATCAGATTTTTTTTTATAAAATGATACAGGAATGCATTACTTTTTTTTTCCTACTTTGTAATTTACAATAGTGATATAACTGATTTTTTTTAGGAAATAATTTCTAATTACTTCATCTGTTATCATGCTTATGGGTGGCTATAAGGAACTTATATTAACAATTATTTTTTTTATAAAATGATACAGGAATGAATTACTTTTTTTTCTGTAATTTACAATATTGATATAATTGATTTCTTAAGGAAATAATTTTTAATTACATCTATTATGGTGCTTATGGGTTGTTATAAAGAACAATATTTGCGTTGACAACAATTCTGAAAATATACTCGCTTACACATGAAAAAATTTGGTAGCTAATTCTGCAAGCACTTGGTTCGAAGTTGGAAAACTATGATATTTTTCAAGCTCTCTAACTCAACGGTTTGGCTATGGAAACTAAAGTAATCAACCTGTTTTTCTTCGGAATGTTGACTTTATAAAAAAGTTTATTAAGGTAATTGTGAACATTATAACTTATAGAAGACTATTTTAAAAGCAATTAATTAAAGGAATGAAGATTTTTCATTGTTTTATCATTAATAGAATTTTATGTCCAATAGTTAAATTTTTCAGTCTTTGTGCTACATTTAATCTAGCTCTGAATTAGTATTTGGTGCATAACATAAGCTGAAAATGTCTAAAATATGCTGTATTTTTTTACACCAGAGATAAAAATTTATAAGAACCGCTATTAACATTAAAAATGTTTATTAAGGTTTAGTGGGAACCGCTGCTCTTACTAGTTGTTGGCAATTTTTTAAAACTATTAGACACAACTCAAAATGTTTTTTTGCGAAAATCCAGATTTAGAAACTCATCAATGTAATTCTGATACAAAAGTACTCCAGAAAATACAAAGGTAAATTTTTGTAAGACTTCTTAAAAAAATTTCCTGTCAAAATTAATTCTCCGTGAAAATATTTACAAAACAAAAATGTGAATCGCAGGGGTCCCCCACCTTTCAAGACTTAGATATACAGTCGGACCCCGATATAACGAATTCATAGGGACCGGAAACGTTATTTACTAAATCGAGGATAATTCGTAATATCGGGGACAAAATAAAAAAAAAATAGACTAACCTTATCCGAACATCTCTAATAAGAAAATACACAAAATAAATAGAAATCTTACACTGTTTACTCAGCAACTAAAAATACAGCGAACGATTATGTGCTGATTAGTTTGAAATTTTAAAGCATTTCATAAGTAAGGTTTACTCATTCCCTTGATTTCTTACTTAAGAAAGTTCTTTTTCAATGTCGTGAAGAGAATATAATACTCCCTCATTTGCATCTTGCTGCATAAGGTAAGTTTTTACGGTTTCCAAACAGTACAAAGCATCAGAAAAAGTAACAGTTTTCTCTGGAGATTCATTATCATCGACTTTTGTGTCAGAGTAGCTATTCATTGTTTCCTATAAATCTACTTCATAAAATTCGTTAATTAACGAAATTTGGTAAATAGGGGTTAGTTAAACCGGGGTTTGACTGTAACTGTTTAAAAATTACTAATTGTTTATATTAGTCAAGATTACCCAAACATTAAAATGCATCAATTGTAACTTGTTCGGGTGGGTGAAAATAAATTTCGCCTCCTTCCAAATACTCTTATTTCCAGTTTGAAACTATTAATTTAGCTTCCCAACTTTCAATTAACTTTCTCAATTTTAGTGCAATTGTATGTTAAAGTATACGGAAAAGTTTCTAGTTATGAAACTGCCTTTCTTTAATTATATTTATTGAGATTTAAATACATTTATTCTGCTGGTTTGGTGGTGAAGGTAACTACGTCTTCCTTATTTTGATCACTTTGTTTTTTGTTGCATTTCTGGCACATCTCCCAAAAGCTGGTCTCTTGAAATACCTAGTAAAAAAAGGAGGGAATCTTTTTATTTTACCATAAGAAAATCTTTTCTATAATATATCTTAGAAATGAAAAATATTTTTTGGACAATGAATATAGAGCAGATTTATGTTGCTTAAAAGTTAGCAAGGGTCTATCTGGGTTTTCTTTAGAGGTACCTATTTTGTGAAAATTTTGACATAATTTGTGAAAATCAAAAATTATGTTAAAAAATCGACACAAAAATATGATAAAGTAAGAAAATATTTTCAAAAATTGTCACTTCAAATAAAAATCATTTATGACAGGTAAATTTCTGTATATTTTTTCCCATATAAAAGAAGATAATTTTGCTATTGTAAAGTTGTGGCCTTCAAATTGCATCCAAATTTAAAATTCCATAAAAATCATTGTCCATAGTTAAATTTCAACTTCAATTTAGTAAAAACATGCATTTAACAGTACTAGCACTAAAAGTTAACTAACTAGCACATTAAGAGAACATTTTCGACTGGGTCATACAGAAAAAAGTTTCACAAAGAAAAAAAAATGTTACATAAAAAATAAATTTACAATAGTGTTTAAGATAATGTTCGAATGTTTAGAATAATGTTCGAATTTTGACTTCCTGTAAAGTTTACAGAGGAAGACTCTAGTTGTTTCATTTTAAAAAACTCTGCTAAAAAAAAAATCTCTGTTTGATATGGCGTGAGCGACCGGTTAGGTTTACTACATTGCACTGTGTTGCAAGTTTCAAGAATGAGCAAATCTTGAAACTCCTATTTTATTTACAAAGAGTATAGCGCATGCCTGAAAAATATGAAATGACACACAGACAGTTACAGACATAGACTACATATGCTGCACTGGCGGAAGGGGCGTATATATTTATACTTTCTGAATGTAAATCAACACTGTCCCCTACTGATCGTATTATTAGTATTGAACTGTACTGTTGAATCGTAGGTGTTTGGAAATGTTTAAAATCTATATATATATTTCTCTTACACGGCGACAAAAAAAGGCCTCATTACAACTCCCCGAATGGCAACGCTAGAAAATCGACCAATGATTGCCGCTAAAAATGTCACATGCCAAGTCTAGCTGAGATGGCTCAACATATAGCGCTTTTAAAAACGGAAACTGAAATAACCAGAGACAGCATGTAAGCTAGGCAGAAGTGAGTAGTCTTTGTCGATAGATCTGTATTTTAGTATTTTGTCGAAAGCGCTTTTTTTCACGAATTTATATATTACGAATTTATTTGATGATTTTTGATTTATATCACGAATTTATTTGTTTTACTAGAATTTATTTGATGATTTTTGATTTATATCACGAATTTATTTGTTTTACTAGAATTTATTTGTTTATGCAGGTTTTTCCATTGCAATTCACTTATTTCAATTTT